GGCTAGTTGAGTTTTTCAATTTAAGCTTCTTTGTTTTAAAAAGCCCAGGACCATCTGATTTTAAATTATGTGTCATATGTTCTTTTTGGTTATATGTTTAAAACGGTTTATGAAAGGGAGAAGGGGTGGATAAAGAACTAAATGGTATTTCACTTACCTGAATCCTTCATTATTCCTACCACCAGCCACAATCATACTATTCCCTATGGTGGTCATTGTATGTTTTGATCTTGGTGTATTTAAGTTTGCACTTTTTACCCAGTTTCCTCCAACATTCTTGTAACAGTCTGCAGAATATCTAAAAAATAGATCAGGATTTTTGTGTCGATAATCTCTGTATAAAAAACCATCAAATGAATCAATTTTAAATCTTCATTAGAGGCATATTCAGAGGGGTTGGGGAGAAGTCCTCTCGCAACATCTATGCATACCAGGTAATGGGGGCCATGGGCAAAGGTTAAAATCATAAATAATAAAAATGGAAAATAATAAAAATGATCTTGCTGGCAATCTGAAAAGAGATGTTTTCCCCTAATAACATAATTCAATAATTGACTACCCTTATTTCCAAATTTCACTTTGGTATTTCTCTATTTTCTAAACTTGCCCCCTCCAGCTCACACTAGTAGTATATAAGAAGTAGATTTACAGGCTATTCTATCTATCTATCATATGTATAAAAAGGGTGACTCATGCATTGCATGACTCATCTATCTATTGATCCCATTGTCATGGTCAAGGTTGTCTTTTCTACAAAACTAATTTTGTCACCTTTATTTATACTTATGCTATCGAATTAAAATGGCAAAAATAGCCTGTAAATCTACAAGTCTAGTCCAGAAAATAGCCTGTAAATCTACTAGTCTAGTCCAAAAAAGTCTTTCTGCAACCTACAAGAAGTAGGTCAATATATGACTACAATAAAGAAGATGGGGAAAGGGGGACTTCAGAGATAAGAGTACTGCTGAAATGTCTATAATGACTAATGATACAACCATAGAGTAATAACAGAGAAGTAAAGCTTCTTTGGGGTGGTAAAATGTAGATAATTGAAAATTAGTATTAATATTTAGATAGACACTTGATATGGATTGTAAATACAGGATTGTATACTGTAGTACATTCCAGTTCAGTAGTTTGTTTATGTTAATAAGAGTATGACCAAATTTTGCATTGTGAAAAAGTGCACAAACAATTCTTCTTGTAAAAATGTGAGTTTTTTTTCAAAATACCAAAACATTGTGCATGGCTAGACTTTTTTAGACCATATATCCCTTAACTTGTATTTGCTCAAACCATTTTAAAGGAGATATTTGTCAGGGGAAGAAACCAAGTTTGAAATAAAATGCAACACCATTGCTCTCAATTTTAGGTGAGAATAAAAATGAATTTACTGTATTGTTTAATATAAAATGTTTTAATATTTAACATAATTTAAAAAAAGAAGTCGTAATTAAAGATGCGTGCGCATCGTTTTTTTCAGTTCATTTGTTTATCATTTGTTAAATACCCATCCAGTTTGTGTTTTTTTTTCAGTACTTTGGTAAAAGTTTGAATTTTTGTTCTCAGAATAACAGGCGCGCAACTAGGGGTGGTAATGGGCGGGGGGCAAGCACCCCCTTTTTAAGAAGAGTTGAACAGAAGAAAGAATAAAAATGTTTGAAATAAGAATGTTATTCAAGTTTTAAGCTAAAGGCATGCCAATAGAAACTTAATATTAATGACAGAACTTTTAGGTAGTAAATTAAAAACCTACAAATTTGAAAATTGTCAAATGTTTGCAGTCAACATCTCTTTGAATAAAGAAAAAAAATCTAAAAATTTGTCAATTTCATAACCCCATAAAAGAAATACAATCACTCTTTATATACAAGTGTAGTGTTAGATACGTAAACATCTCGTGATGTTCACAACCAACCACTGTTAATTAATTAATAGGGTGGTCAGTTGTGTACATCTGAGGTTAGTTTACCTCTTTGATTTATTACTCTATGGAAACAAGGGGTAAAAATGAAAATAAGAGCAGGTAAAGGGACAGGGGGGGCAAACTCCAACCCCTTGGTGGAGGTTGACATATGAGTAAGCTACTCTCTAGAATAGAAACTGTATTTAAATAAACACTTACTGAGCTCCATTTTCTAATCCACCTCCACATGCATATATTTCACCTTTCATTATAGCAAGACCTATTCAATACACAAAAATCATGTTTATATTATGCAGTAGTAGTGGAATATTTCTTGTTTTAACAGCTTTGTTGTTTCTGTTAACTGTCACCTGATTAGACTAATTTTGTCAAATGTTGATATGGGGGCGGGGAAATTTTTAACTTTAGTATAATATAGGGAAATATGATACTTGTTCCTAGTGCATAAAAAAATTAGACCTCTAACTATAATAAGGAGGATTTTAAATAAGATTTAAAAATCTTTGGGAAAATGTTCAAAATAATTATTTTTACTTTTGACATTATTAACATGTTACACATCCACTCTACTCTTAGCAAAAAAAAACAATTTTTTTGACAAAATTTGTTAACAACTATGATGTTGAAAACATTAAAAAGTTCAAGCGTTTTATTGTAAGCCGTTTTTGAGTTAATTAGGGGAAAACTCTTAGGGGAAGGGGGGGGATGGAAAACTCTGCCCCCCAATTGTGATAGGCTTAACATAGAGAAAAAAAACAACCTCTCCTGTGCTTACTAAAAATAAAATGGGAGGAGGTGATTTGCAGAACCTTTTCCCTTTAATTTCTATTGTAATTCTAATTTATAGAATTTCAAAAGTTCAAAACCGTTACAATGATAATTTACTCCCCCCTCCCACTTTAATCCTTAGTAAAATCAGAAGAACTTAGTTGGTTTTACATAAGGGTTAATATTTTATAGTGTACATGATTTACTTAAAAATCAGGTCAAAAATTACGCTGTAAGGAAATTAGATATTTAAAACTGAAAGAACTTCTTACCAACATCCCCAGGAGAATCTGGAAATAAAGAAGTGAAGTAAATTAATTTAAAACTGTGTTTAAGAAATCACATACCAGGTAGCTGTTTCCAAAATTCCGAATTACAGCGCGGATATGAGGAAGCCCCATTTCCACCTAACCCAAATAATCCTCCTCCTAAATGGTTATTAACCCTATCAAATGCATCAAGCAATATCAAGGAAGTTTAGATAATCTCAATTAAACGGTTTACCACCACTGCCTCCAAAATAGAGCATAGTTGGCACTCTGAAATAAAACCATTAGTCAAAAGTGCTACTATAACACATTAAGAATTAAAAATAGATAACAACCCACTAATACATTATTTAAAATACTGTCTTTTATTTATTTTTCAAGACAACTTTTCTATTTTCTAGTATTTAAAGAATGACCTTATCAAGCCATGCATAATTAACTATCTTTTATGATCTGTCCTATAGATCAACATTATTACATTGAAATGATCAATTCTAACAATAAAGCTTTTCAAACTGCAGAAAAAAGGTCATAAAGTTGGAGAAACTTTAAATGTAATTATATCAAATTTCAAATTACAGAGTGCCCTTCTCATATCAGATAATCTCCAAGCTTTGATGGCAAAATACTCAAATAATCCTTGAATAATTAGGCAAGAAATTTTAAATTAGCCTTATACATTTTTCTAAATGATTTATTTTATTTAATTTTCTGATAAGTCCCTTAATTTTCAAATAAGAGCTTTAAATGATCTAATATGATGAAGGACATCCTGAATTTTGAAAACAAATGAAAAATGAAAATTTGGAAACCTGCAAGTTGGTGGTACACCCATAGCATCACAATCTATCTAAATATTAAGCAGGCTGTCTAATCACCACATTAGACAAGAGTATTCTAACAAGGATTGGATTCTTTCCTTGAAATGAATCAATGCTATAAGCTACCTGATTTGGAACATGCACTTCTTTCGGAGCCTCAGGTTTAGCTGAAATAAGCATAAAATTTGAAATTATTACTCTATATCATAACTTTAAGAAATACAATTAGATCGTAAATTTTAGATTTCTTTTCTTTAAATCTTTTCAGAATCCAAATCAAAACCTAGGTTGAGATGTTGATGTTGATGTTGTCAAAGAAAACAACATTAGATGTAGTTTATCTTTTTTTTGATAAGATGTACTTAAGAATGAAGCAACAGAAGTTTAACACTATGTACACTGGAAAATATTGAATTGCATTATTATGATATCTATATATAAATTTGGCTTGTCTGTCTTTTTGTTTGTATCCAATAAACGTCAAAACGACTGAACTGATCGGGCCCAAATTTTTTTTGGGACATTACGTGACCCCAGGGAAGGTTTATGAATGATCAAAATTTTAAAAATTTGCATTTAAAAGTTTTTTATTTTAGTAAAATTTTGAAAATGCGCGAAAAATATTATGAAATCCGCAAACTTTTTTTGTTTTTGTTTTATACTGTACAAAGAGAAGATGTTCAGAGATAAAGCCACAATTAAAAGTAGAAATAGATGATGGGCTCGAAGCGCCCTAAAAGCTTAGTTAACATAAATTTGTCTACAGTCTAAGCATACAAAGAAAACTAAGTAAAGTAATATTGACATTACATCCAACTAAATAAGATTATTTATAACAGTATTGCCGGCTCTACCTGGTCTTTTCCCACGTTTTCCACCTGATCCTTTTTTGCCCCCTCTACCTGGACCACCCTTTTTGCATTTAAAAGATTTCTTAGCAGTCCTGATACAGATTCCTCCCTATTTGTCAAAAAAATTAAAATTCTTTATGTGTATTTACATAACATAACACATGGTAGTAATTATTAAAGGAATGATCAAATTATCAGTCTTAATCCCTTTTATAGAAGATGTTTAGATACAAATTGTATACATATTACCAAAACCCATAGTTGTGTTGATTTAAACAAAATTTATTCATTTTTGTTGGTGTACAAGCTCTTATTTACTGAAGTTTAAAAACAGGAATTAGGAATGGTTTAATGGAGCTTAAATGATGATTTGCAGGGTCATAGGTCGTTCATCCAAAATGGAGGATCTCGTCAAGAACTGGTTAGGCTGTTGCTGTGTGAATAATTTAATTATAAATTTTAAATGAATCCAATGGTATCTAAACTGATATGTAGCCAAAAAACATATGTATACATTATACATCTATCTTAATAACTTTTTTCTTTTTCAAGGATGAATAGTAATAGAGTCAAACTTGTTTAATTTCAGTGACTAAATTAATGGAACTCACTCTTTGACATCTTCGCTGCAGAGTATCTTTTTGACCGCAGAACAGGTCTTTCTTTATTTGTAATGATTTCTTTCCTATAGGAATTCAGTGTTTCAATGTAGAAAATAAATATTAATAGAATATAGAACAATTAAAATAAAGAGAACAAAATTGATTACCACTACATTCTGACCCACCATTCTGCAATATTTGATTGTTTAATTAAGAGATGGTTTATTTACTGACATGTCAGTGTACCAGCTTTAACAAGTAACATTATTAAAAAAAATGCCACTTTGATTATTTTTAATAGATTGGAGGAATTTTGCTGAAAAATTTATGTATAGAAACTAACTATGAATGTATGAATGTTTATGAAGAAATTGTATACTAAAAATGCCAAGTTAGCCAAATCTAAATGTTTTTACTAATTTAATTCTATATACAACTGTTACTTACCCTACACTACTGTTCAACCCTCCCACCCCTATGATAATGAATAAGATGTACCAATGTCCTACAGATTAGTCCGTTTCTACATTTTTCACCAATGGTTCCAGAATCCCCACAATCAGCTTCTAAATATTACAATGTCAAATTTTAAAAACTGGAAGAAAGAAAACTTTCTCAAATTTTTATCATCATTAAAATAGGGCATAAGGGTTGTGGAAATAAATAATAATATAATTACTTCTTCGCTCACCCCCTCTGCTTTTAATCAATACAACATTATCTTCTTTCCTGAACAAGTTGATATATTAGAACTCTTGTTTTATTAATTACAGAATTAAATATGTTACCCATATTGAGCTTCAGTATGTAATACGCAGATTAACAGCATTATTAATACCTAGAACAATTTATATGAAGTATACTGCACAGTATAGATTTTACTTAGTTTTACTTCTATTTTATGTATAAAATTTACTCAATGTGTTTAATGATGGAAAATCCTCTGATGCATTAGATTATTCAGCCTAATAGAGGCCACAGGGAGCACTGATTTTTCAACACTTAAATTTGTTCTTCCTATTCGATTTGATCATATGATTTGCAATAAAAAAGTATTTTCAAAGTTGTTATTTGATGATTCTGCTTTTCAGAGTAAAGGCAATAGTGGCCTCCCTGTGAAACAGGGTTCAGAATATCTTAGCAAAATTTGTTATCTATTAAAGCTATCAAAAAAAATATTTTTAAATTAAAATTTTTAAAATCTGTTTACATTAAACTGATTTTAAAAAAAATTTCTTGTCAAATCTTCCAAGGATTTTGTTTGCGCCATTTGATTGGACATTTTATTTTTAGGTTAATAGTTGTAATTGTAAGTTCCTTATCAGGGAAATTAATTTCAATGATTTTTTAATATAAATTCAAAATCAAAATCGTTTAAAAAATGAGGCTCTTAATTATAATTTATCAGAGGATTTTGAAGTTGCAAGGTTTTGATGGCACCCTTTGATCAGCCACCTTCAGTATAGATATCTGTATTGTTCAAAACAACGTAAATCGGTTCGAAAAATTATAAAATTAGAATATGGTATCAACTTCTGGGGTTATTTAGAGACACCCTGTATACAATTTATTTCATGCTACTAATTGTTTGCACCAGATATATGTACTGTATGCGAATACAGACAGATGACATAACATACAATAAACATTTCACTAGCTAATAAATCCTCTAACAAGCTTTTCTGTCCTATTGGCAAAGTTGTCAAATTATACCCGTTTTTTTTTTATAAAATGGTTCATTGTGATATAAAGGTCTCAAAGTCTTAAGCAAAAATCTATGAGAATTTTGCCAATTACTTTTTTTAAAACCAAAGCTAGCAACAAATGTATAAAGTGAAAAAATGTACATGTTTAGGGCTACAGAAAAGTATAAGTGAGTTAGAGCAATACAATCAAAGCCCAAGGCTTTGTGACACTTCAAAGTTGACCCTGTCATAGAAATTGATGGAACCTTTTATAAGCTAATTATTAAGTGTGTACAATTACAACTTTTTCAATATTAAAAAGGTTAAGTTAAAATTGAAAAACAAATTTTGAAAGTTTTACAAATGTAAGAGTTTTTAAGAACTTACTGAAGATAGTAGTTTCATTCTGCAATCTATGATACTACTGACAGACTAGTTGAACCAATTAAAGTTAATAACACTTAAATCTGTTAGTACAATTAATTGAATTAAATAAGGCAAAGATTAATTACTATGAAAAATTAGGAGGAGGGGGAGGGGGTCAGGTAAATTAAATTTATACCATTCACTTTAGAATTTTCTTTGAGAAGAAGATACATCACTTCAGGGGGACATTAGTTTCAAAACTAACACTTGGCCCATTTTGTAACACTCTTAGAAATAGGCAAAAAAATCAAACATTTCATTAACCTTTAACCGTTTTCGAACATATCCTGTATTCTGGAGTAATTGTCCCGTTTCGGGGACAAAAATTGAATTAAAAAATATATACACTTGAAAAATTAAGATAACTTTGTAGATTTGGCCTATTTCGCGATTATATATATATATATATAAATATAAATATAAATTATGAGTCTAAAGTTGACCTAAAGTTGGTGAAAAAGAAAATATTTAAGTTGTGAATTTTTTAGTTTTACTTACACTTTATTAATTTGGTTTAGAAGGCCAAATGTGATTATATTCTAATTATGAAAGAATCATAAAATTACTTTAAATATTTGATAATTTAATGATATATCTATCAATTATCTAATCTTTTAATAACTGATTTAAATTTTCTTAGTTTAAATGATGATTTAATTTGTCCAATTACAAATATAATTTTTTAATTAGATTAAATTAAATTAATTATTTCAGAAACGTATTGAAAGAAAGTAAATTATTTCCATGAAAAATGTCATTTTTAATTCAGAAGTAGTGCAGGGCGTGTTCCTATTTTAATTCAGAAGTAGTGCAGGGCGTGTTCCTATTTTTAATTCAGAAGTAGTGCAGGGCGTGTTCCTATTTTTAATTCAGAAGTAGTGCAGGGCACACAATATGCAATACACAATACACAATATACAATACACAATATACAATACACAATATACAATACACAATACACAATATACACAATACACAATATAGAAAACACAATACACAATACACAAAACACAATGCACAATACACAATACACAATATACACAATACACAATACACAATACACAATACACAATATACAATACACATTACACAATACACAATACACAATACATAATACACAATATACAATACACAATACACAATATGCAATATACAATGTACAATTTACAATATACAATACACAATACACAATACACAATACACAATACACAATACACAATACACAATATACAAAACACAATACACAATACACAATACACAATACACAATACACAATACACAATACACAAAACACAATACACAATACACAAAACACAATGCACAATACACAATACACAACAATACACAATACACAATACACAATACACAATACACAATATACAATACACATTACACAGTACACAATACACTATACATAATACACAATACACAATACACAATACACAATACACAAAACACAATATATTCACGAAACCTGAACTGCACAAAAATGCATTTTAAGTTAGAATTTGAAAATATTTTGTACTCTTTTTAAGAGAATTGTTCTGTAAGAAATGTAATGCAAACATTTTGGAAAATGCAGTGTTTTAAAATTGCTATTTGCAATTTGCAATTAGCAATTTGCTATCATTTTTGAGTAAATTGATGTTTTCATTAGAATCAATGTCAGTAAATTCTTGATTTTTTGATAAATAGAAGTTTAACTTTGACAGTCTTGTAACAGCTAGATATAATGGTAATTGTATAAAGTATAACATATTGAATATATAATTGTTGAAAATACAGACAAAATGCATATATGAATGTTAATTTAGATGGAAACCGAGGAAGGAATGTTAAGATGGTGTGAATTTCTGTAGACTGAATATTGGATTGGATTGAAAATAATTAATATCAATGAATATGGATTTCAGAAATTTGTGGAATTAATTGTATAGAAATGAAGGAAGGGGTGTATTTAGGAATTTGTTCCAGGGGGAGCTCAGCACCCATTAGGGTCTGAAATTCCCCTGAATTCAATAAATTTCAATGGTCCAGGGGGGGGGGATTAGCCCCCATTCCCCCCCTGAATACGCCTCTGAACAATGGCCATGCAAAATTATAGTCCAATTCTTAACAATTTGGTTTTAGAACTTGAAAAATACATATATTTACGTAGTTTTACAGATTTTATAAAGACATTGTTGACACAAATTTGAAATATAAGGAAGATGACTCTACTGATTCTGTATACCGTTGTTTGTTTGTTGTGTGAATCCTTTTCCGCCCACATGTCACCCTCGCCCTTCCGTCCCCTCCCCCCAACCTCTCTACACCTCCTGGCCCTCAGTCAGCTAGAAACACTTAAGACGATCACAACTCCGTCTTAACACTGGCTCCTTCATGATGGTGATTCAGATACCGAGCTAACTGCAGACACTGCTTCCATCTAGCCCCAAAATGCTCCAGAGTTCAGGACAGACCCAGAGCCCAGCTAACATTAAATCTTCGCCAGAGTTGGTTTTCCTCCGTCGTAAATGCGATGGCAGGGGGTACACTGTACCGCAATAGTATATACTACATGTCCCCGCCATAGTGCAATTGTCGCAGTTTCGATGGCGGGGAATTCTGAACCTCTGTAGTAGAAACAAAATTTTCCCCGCCATAGTATAATTGTCGTATATACGACTTCGGAAATTCTGAACCGCTGTAGTATATATACAAAATTTTCCCCACCATAGTACATCTGTCGTATATACGACTTCGGAAATTCTGAACCGCTGTAGTATATACAAAATTTTCCCCGCCATAGTAATCTGTCGCAGAAACGATAAATACACCGCTGTAGTAGTAAATCCGACAGAGTAGACTAAATTANACAGCATACTTCTTTCATACTCAGGGGGGATTATAGGATTTTTAAACTTGACTTAACTTTAACATCATAGTTTTTAGAAAAAGGGGCTCCCCCACCCCCCATGAAAAAATCCTGTAGTCACCCCTGAGTATGGTAGTAGTACGCTGACAATTCGGTGAGAAAGTCTACGATGTAGTATGTTGAATTCGGTGACATTTTTTCCGATATAGTATATTGATATCGGTGTATACCTCTCCGATATCGAATGTAGATTTTGGTGAAGAAGTCATCGCTGTAGTATATACTCCAAAGCACCGATGTCGAAGTGTAGATTTTGGAGTTCATTTGTGCGCTGTCGCATGTACGATTTCGTATATACGACAGATCTGGGTGTGATCCTTTTACTATACCGCCAAGACCGACATCGAACCAGGTGATCGGAGCTCCGCCCAACTCCAGCGAAGCTTGTCGTAGAACGAGGCGGTATAACCGCCGTCGGTCTTTATGTTCGCTGGGAGTTCATACATTATCATGGAACCCAGAGACAAAATAATCGCTCAATTGCACATTATATCTCTCCCTTAGCCTGAAGCCTAGTTGTGAGCAAACCTGCTGTCAAGATTGATGATCTGCACCACCAACATGATGATACCACTGATGATACCACTGATGTTCCCACTGATGTTCCTCAATAGTTTACTTTGTTCATTTCTAACCAACCAATTTTTAACCATGTCTTATGCAAATATTTCAAAACTCTTTCGTTTTTTTAAATAAATGTTAAAAAATATCCATTTTAGATCTCTTTGTTTTAATATTGTGACTTTTAAAGTCAACATTTTGAAATATGGAAATCTGGGCGGGTTATATCTTGGTTGGTTGGACTTTGAAGTTTCAAATTTCTTTTACTCTTGGTTAAATTAAAATCCCATTTTAATTTAACCCCCAGTAGGGGGTAAAGTTGACACAAATTCAAAATATAAGGAAGATGACTCTACTGATTCTGTATGCCGTTGTTTGTTTCAAGACGTGTGAATCCTTTTCCGCCCACATGTCACCCTCGCCCTTCCGTCCCCTCCCCCCAACCTCTCTACACCTCCCAGCCCTCAGTCAGCTAGAAACACTTAAAACAAATCACAACCCCGTCTCAACCCTGGCTCCTTCATGTTGGTGATTCAGATACCAAGCTAACTGCAGACACTGCTTACATCTAGCCCCACAATGCTCCAGAGTTCCGGACGGACCCAGAGTTCATACATTATCATGCAACCCATAGAGACAACATAATCCCTCAATTGCACACGATAAGACCGTGATATCTCTCCCTTTCCTTGCAAAACAAGGGACATTAAATTAGAATCAAATTGACATCTTTTTAGAGTGCAGTTATGTCATTTTGACATCACAAAAAGACATCAAATTGATGTAAAAACGTTCCCACTTTAACGTCAATATGACGTCATTTTGAGACGTTAGATTGATGTAAAATATCCCAAAATTATTTCAATTTTATGTTTGTTTGATGTCATTTTGTATGTTTTGTGACATCATAATGACATTATTTGAGGTTACAATACCAAAAATGAGATCCATATTTACGATACCTAACATCTCAAGACCTTAAAATCATGACGTTCAAATAATGTCACTTAACATTTAAATTACATCAAAATTATATCTATGAACATTTAAATGACATTTCATTAATGTAGTTTTACTCTTAAATGACGTCAAAATAATGTCAATCAAAATTATGATAGCGTCCCTTGTACTAAATACAAATGACAAAAAGTTGTAATCTATTATTAAAATAAGAAAAACAGTTATCATGTAACAAATCTAAATATCTATCACAAACAAAGATTATTTTAACTTCTTTATTTTGACTTGGTGTTATTAGAGTATCTTCAATGTTTCCATAGAATCTTCATAACATTGCCAAACTGTTTGTCTTGTAAAAATTCCATCCTTATTCATGCATTCCCATCCATGGTCCCATAGTCTGGGCTTCAGATGTGAAATATATCCTCTGTCCAACTGAAATAGAAACAATCTTTATATCTAGTTGAAGGATAGAAGATTAGATATATATATGTATATATATAAGACTAGTAGACTAGACAACTATAGTAGACTAGTAGACTAAAAGACTAGAAGACTAGAAGACCACACCACCCAAACAATT